GAAATTGGAAGTAGACGGGGGCTAATAAACAGAGAAAAAAAATTAAAACCTGAAAAAAACTTGACAAATAAACACAACATACTAGGGAAAACTTGACAATTGATCAAACCTGGGTACTTTCGAACTCTCGTCAGTACCAATTTTTTTCCAAACATTACCACTTATCCTCTTTGACTACACTGTAACGTTCCTGTTGAAAGGGGGGGGGCTACACCTAAGCCCCAATCTTCAATGCCTGAATTACTGAGTATGTCTATCTTTGCAAAAATGTCAAGTGAAAGTGGGGGAGACGGCTAAGACCCCTTAGTCTCCCCGGTTCCGACGCCTTTGAAAACGTTGGTTTTCTCTAACTACATGTATATACGTATATTTTTATGAGCAGCATATTGTCTTTGTCTTCTCAAATGTTGCATCACGACGAAAGTCTAGATGGAATCTCTATGTGCACCCCCGCTTGAAAACTGAGAGGGTATATAGTGATCGGGATGTAGTATAGGTCTGTCCGTCTGTCTGTACGTCCTCAGGTCTATCTTTTTTCTGCAACTCCTCCTATAACACTGAATAAAAATTAATTAGAATTTCTCAGATTCTTTTTAACTAACATAATGCCATTGTGTCCTCTTATTTACTTTTTGATCTGACACTTATTTTGGGTCTCCTAGAGGAAAACATGGATTTTGCCGATTATTAAAATCAAATTATGCAAATGGAAGGCTCATTATTTAGTGAGCTCTGTGTTTACAGTGCCTCTAGTTCTACCTATTTTAATACTTGCATTTTGCTTTCATTTATTTCTACCTAAAAAATTTTTGTGTCAATATAGATTTATGGCATATTAAAAAAAGTCTATCGTTGGTTTCTTTTATGTTAATTAATGACACCAGATTAATTGGCTTTTTTCAATGGAAGGGGTTGTCTCGTTGTATGTAAACATGATTTAGAGAAAAAGTTGGAAATCAGCAATAAGGAGATTACTTTGGCATTGTCAGTTTTATGAATGACTTTATCATTTCTACATATGAGAATTTTTGTCGTTTGTTAGATGGTTTTATGGACTTCCATCAAATCATTCATCAGCAAATGCTAACGAAGGACAGAATAGTCAGGCATACCGTCAGAAGACATAACAGTGGTTTTATGTGTCGGTTAACCCAGACACAATTCAGGATACAGTCGGGCCTTGTTAATCCGGAAATTTATTTGAGGTCAAAAAAATTGCCGTACTTTTATTTTGGAGTGAATCTCTACAAAGCTCAATATTACGTTACGCTACATGCAACTCCATATCTTATTCGTTGGGAAAGAAGTCCAGGAGAATGGGCGCTGTACAAAGTATCCATTAAGAGTGCAATTACTACCAAATATATACGTCCCCCCTCCCAAGAGAAGTATATGGAGGCATATAATGTCAAAAGTTTTGATTGATTGTTTAAAATCATATACGCTATATGAACGCCGAATATAGGTTGAAACAAAATGATCAACGATTTAAAACACATGAAGTATAATAAAAATAATACTTTCCACAAAATTGTACTATAGATGTCGTTGTAATAACAAAACAATTAAACAATACCTAGAAATTAAGAATTCAGTCTTTTCATGAATATTGATAAAGGAAGTGCGTAAACTGTAGGTCTATATATAGAAACACATGTCCACGGGAAATCACAGACAACGAGGTATGTTGCATTTTGACAACAATTATTAATGTAAGGTTAATATGCATCATAACAGAGAAGATTGTTGATACTTAAATACATTAAAAGGTAAAGTACCATTAAGTATCCACATCAAAAGTGAGTAGTATCTCAAACGGTCTACCTTGTTTTCTTTACGCCACGTGTGTTTATCAATCTAAAAGTAGCAAAGGCGTCACGTGATGGATTTATTTAAAAATAGCTGTTTTTCTTTCCTTGCAGGATAATAAATAATTATAATTTGATAACTTTGTCACGCGTTTAATTTTAATGGTGTAATTTACAGTATTTTCGTAACTTTTCTTGATAAACAAATTGTATCAATTTCCAATCCTATTTTAACTGGCGCAAGTTATAGCGTGTATACTTTTAAGGTCCCAGTCGACAATATTTCACTGCATGGACATAAAGAGACGTCAGCGTATGCCAAAGAGGGGCTTCAAATTACACCTATACTCGGCATTCAGGGCCATTAAGAAGTGAGCGTTCTATATCGTGCCAACGCCGACCGTGACACGGGACCAACATTTTTAAGGTCAAATCCAAAAGACCCGTGACTTTCACTTCTAGTGCTGAGCGCGTGTCAATTTTTTTTTAAAAAGAATCAGTCACTACCTGTGTTTATGCAAGAAGTTTTAAACGAGGGGCTAAATTTTATTGGTTTGAAATTGAAGCTGTGGTATTAATTTTCAGAGCTAGTGTTAAGTCTATCCATCTTTTTTAGGGGGGCCGGGGGGGGGGGGGGGGTCCATATTACATGTGCTAAAAAATAAACGAAACATATAAGTGGGGCAGAGAAGGGGAGAAGTAAAAAAACAATGATCCTCTCTGTTTTCACAGCCATAGGGGAACTCTCCATTAAAAAAGAATTCTTGGTTCTTTTGGTTAGATATTCAATAAACACATCTTTGCTATTTTCAACAGGAAACATAAAAATAAACTCTATATTTTTTTTTAGAAATTTTAATGACATAGAAGTTAGAACACATTTAAATATGAATCATTATACAATCTGTATGTCATATGGCTGTTTCTTCTCTCCGATTCGGTTTTTGCCGTCATATTTGATTCCAGGTTTAAATTCTCCCTCGATGACCTCCTCTTCTCCAATTTTAATGCCAGACTCTTCCAAAGCATTCAGCACTGCTTTAACCTACAATAATAATGATTATTTACTGACAGATCTAAAACTTACAATGTAAGCCTTTACCTAAAATGAGGATAACCGGTAATTACTTATACATGGGAAATTTACATTAAAACTGAGAACCTATATTTTTAAAATTATTCTTTTTTAAAAATATTTTTTATGCATTTCAAAGAGAATCATTCAAGAACCTGTAACTATTTTTGAAATCAGTGGTTTATTCACATTAGTATCACTCAACTAGATCTATAATAAATACATTGATACTACCAATAAATATTTCAACTGGATATTTCTAAAAAAAATAAGAAGTCAGCTTTTAGCTATGAAAATAACTCCAACCAAACTTTCATGCCTGAACGTACCTTATCCCCTCCATGACCTTCTGAGACTGGGTCATAATACACGTTGACAATGCCGGCTTTCTGACAGCGATCGGCAAACACACGACCGGTATTGACAGCCGCTGACACATCTCTTGGCACTACATAACACAAAATCAAGATCTGTCTATTACATACAGTCTAAATATAGCTTCTACTAGATCAGCTGTTTTAATCAAAATATATTCATTGTGATTTAAATATTTCCCACAATTCCTTCACAGCTTTTATTGTAAACATTTGAGAGTAATAAATTCAGTTTATTTGATTAACTGATGATATTCATTAGGATAAACCTTAATTTTATCAAATTTTCAATGAACGGCATCAAATTAATCAACAGTACATGTACCTGTATAAGAACTGCCTTATCGCCCACTCTGATGATGAAGCGTAGATGACCTTCCTCCCTGAGGAATGTTCTAGGTAAACCTCTACTTTGCTGGAGGTAGGATTAATATGGAGTCTACAAATATGTAATTTCCTCAATTTTATTTCAGAAATGGTCATTACAGGTAACTATATTACACAGGCCCAAAAGACTCCAAATTAAAAGCCTTGCACATACATGTATATAGTAGTATTTTCTTTTTTTTCTTTATTATACATTGTATTGACAAAATTTTAATTTTCTCTTACTAATAACCATTAGGTAAATTTTAAGACTGTCCATTACAGTAAACAGTTAAGGATATACTAACTTGTAATAAAAGTTTCGGGAAGGTGTTTGAAATCTCCATCCTTTTCTTCTTGGAGAAACATTCATATACTCAAGGCATCTGAAGGAGAAAAAGTATATAAATTACTGAATTTGTAAATGTTAAAAAATTAAAAATCAAGATTCCAAATGCAGTCTTTCTAGGTTAATCCCACTCTAATGTTATATATTATACATTATTGCAAATCCCTTCCTGAATTTAACCTCATTTCCGATGCATAAAAACAAATATTTAATTAAAAAAAGAATGGTTTTAAATATGTGTAATTAAAATAGTGTTTAACCAAAGTATTTAAAAGGGAACTACATGTATTTTTAAAAACACAAAACAATAAACCATTTATTCATTTAAGAAATGTGCAAAGGGCAATAACTCTTTAAACTACAGTGTATCCTTTTTATTGCATTTTCTTCATTTTATTTTCATAGAGAATCGGTTTCCCAGACACTTGGAATTTATATTCAAGTATATTTTAAAATTAAAATTATTTAAAAATTCATAACTAAAAGGATAACACCATATCATTTAGTTTCTCATGGATTTTAATAATGCTATTTAGCAAAACTGAGATATAATTTTCAATGCCAATAGAAACTTCTGTACCTTTATCTGACCTACCTTAAACTATGCTAAATTGATATAAATGCAGTTTTTTTTCAACTTTAAACCCCCCCCCCTCCCAACTTTGGAATCCCTGTAAGTTTGTCTTGAGTAGTGGTTCGACACCATAAATGATATCAAACAGTTACCATTCCCATCATACCTATCATTTCTGTTGATGAATTCCGGGTTTATCTTGTAGTCTTTATTGTCTTCTGAGTATTGAGCGGCTGACAAAGACAAGCTACGAGCTGAAAATTAAACAAGAATTACAAATGAACCCCCCTGTCTAAAACACTGCTATCTCAAATAGCATATCAAAGAGAATTGTGGATATTCCTTAACCGTTGTTCCTCGAGAATTTTAGTATCAGTGATTTAATACCTAGGTTGTATGTTAATTCAATTTTGAACAATATTTTATCCTGACTATCACAGAAGTTAATGTAATTGCAATTTTGCAGCAATTTGATCCCTCTCCCTAATATTTAAGGAATGAAGCTTATTTCAACTTATGTAATATTATATAACATATTTTGGGCCAGTTTACACTTTATAAACCATGAAGCGGTTTATAAAAAAGTTAAACTTCTCCAAGTTATGCTATATTGTACATGTAAAACATAAGTTGAAATTAGCTTCTTTCTTTTTAATTTAATTTCAGTGTAGATAATGAGACAATATTTCAATAAAAGGCTTCAAATTCAGCAATATTTTAAAAGTAACATCAAGCAGAGTAATATGTTTTTGACATAACTCATTGTGATGAATGGAACTCATGTTATATACATAATGGATTCAATTTTTTACCCAATCAAATGATGTATTACATGTCCAACTAAAATCAAATTACAAGTAAATATTGATTATTTTTGTCTGAGCAGACATAGCCATCATCAGATAACTATGGGTGATCTTATCTTTTACTCATCACCCATGATCAAAATAGGCATCTAGAAATTTTTTAAAAAGTCACGAAAATTATATGGGAGTAAATGTACCTTGTCAATCTTTGAAACACACAAGTGAGTGGAATTATTTGATTTATTTGCGAGCAGTAACTGTAAGTTATCTAATGATTTTGGTCATTGGTAAACATACACACATAATCAAGTTGGGCAAAGCCTACCAAATGGCACTTTATCCCACGTTTGGCAGATAATCTACCATATAGGTAACAAATTTTGCTAATCAAATGGGGGACTATTTTATTCTATTGCAATTTTTATTAAAATAAAACAAAAGCGCATTTATTCAGGCAATGGGGGATTTTAGTGAACATATTCCTCGTTCATTTAACATAAATCGGTCGAATTTCTATGCGTAATTTCTCCGTAACTTCGTAAAAATAATACCCGTAGTTGACTCTATCAGCCGAACTTCTTGATCAAACGATAAAAAAAAAATCTTAATTGTGCATTGTTGGATAAAAATCCAATTTTATACAATAATTTGACTCTCGATATGTTAATTTTAATCTCTTTTTGGATCTTCGTCAATGTTTATCTCCATAAAATCCTGTTAAACACGAGCTCCTCATGCCTTACTGGTATGGTGGGCACTTCCTATTATAAAGTTAATTTTTTCCAGAGTTGTACGTAATATTTGTTGTTATTTTTCTTTTAGGATGAAGTTGCAGATTCCATGCGATCTTTTTGGGTTTAATATGCATATTACTGGTGAATTCAATAAATTCAAAAAATAATATTCAATAAAAGATGTACAAAATGACTTTTGCTATTATTCTTGTTTTTGTTCCGAGTACATCGTTTTAAAACAATAATTATGTCATACTCCAACTGCATTTATAACTATATTTCTATGAAGAACAAAGCCATTGTGTTCAAAATAAAAAGAAATAAAGGCTAAACTTATTTTTTTCTGATTTCCTAGTTGAAAATTAACACAAATGTGCTTCCGTAGTTAAATCTGACTTTACATCAGGTTAAAAAAGATCATCGTTTTGATTGGTTTGCAATAATTGATTGGTTGCCCGGATAATCAAAATAGATAGTAAAGGACATGATTGACAGGTGCAACATCGTTGGAGAAGGAGTAAATTTTCTTTAAAAGTAAAAAAATGAAGAAACATTCAATTGTTTACATTAGCTACGTTTTTTGTCAAATTTTTTCACGACTCTGCACAATAAATTGCACATACAATTTTATTATTTTTTTCACCCAAAATACTGATAAATAGCTATATTTTATTTCACATGGTTTCACGGGGATAAAGTACCATTTGGTAGGCTGTGCCCCTCTGATAATTAAGGGGGGTGTACAGCCATATTTTGTGCAGTGAGAACAAAATGTAAACATTTTTTTCAAATGGCTAAAATACATTATATTTTGATCAAATTCTAAACCCTTATGATAAAAATACAATAAATATGCATAACTGAATGCATGTTGTGCATGTATAATCTATACTTTTGCAGAAAAATGCTTTTGATATGCACTTTAGAACTGCGCAGCTACAGAATTCAGCAGAGCCTTAAAAAATCCAAAAAAATACGCAAAGTGTGCATTAATGTTCTCTCTACTACCATTTGTTGAGAAAATGTCTAAATTTTGCACTTTTAAATGATAATTTTAAATTCAAAACAAGGTATCGTTGTCTTCAAAAAGAGTGAAAAGAACCATGAAAGTAGTTCATTGATAGCAGCACGTGGTCTATTTTTAGCACAGAATTTTGTTTTCCAGACCTCTTCTTAATATGGAGGGACATAACAATCTTTAAATGTAGAAGAGAATTACAGTTGCAAAATATTTCAAATAATATGAACACTTTTCAAAGAGGAATTGTGTTAAAGTGTGGCTTGAAGTAATTTATTTAGTATTATTATCAAACAGTTGTTAAATAGTGTACGTATTGAAATAAACTTTTTGATTCCAGGTAAGGAAAAATGAGCACCATCAAAGTTTAAAATGAAGAGTTTGTAAGTTTGCCACAGATAACTTATAATATCTATCAAAAGTTTAATTATCACCAATGAAACACAAAGAAATTAAACACATAAAATCGATATGAAAAACCTTGTGTTAGTATCTACTAGTACGAGGGGTGATCGAACTATCTATATATCTACAAAACCACAATTTAGATTAGAAGCAAATTTGGTGCACACTCAAGTTCTATAAATAGCATATGCCGAATAAAGTTTTGCTCACAATGTGAAAATAAAGTCATTATGCAGGTACTTGTGACGAAAAATGGTTGTCTCAGTGGAACTCATTCAACAAACGACTAAAATAATTATGGTATATCTTAAAACTGCATTTGAAGCAACGTATAAGAATTTGTTCAAAGTTTATTAAGACAAATGACTTCCTAATAATTCAATCAATGATTGGATAGACCGTTTTAGTGAAGGAAGGCAGATGGTTGAATATGATACTTGTTATGTTGCCCGGTGAAAGCAAGTTTGAAAAGGGGTTTGTTTTTAATTAAGCAATATGCTATCAAAGGTCTCCAATTTACACTTTGAAAAATACTTGAATATTTCAACAATAATATAACTATCAAATACCTAAGATATTGTTTACTTTTGATCACCCCCCCCCCCCCTCATATATACTCTGTCAAATAAACATTTACAATTTTCATTACAGCGGAGCGACATTTGAAAAGGAATAAAATCATTCAGAGTGGGTTAAGAGATTTAATGAATAACTTTTTTCTATTTGCCCATTTTGTCAAAATTACAATTTTACAGAGTAAAGAAAAAAATCAACAAAATTAAATATTTTATACCATCTTTAAAATGACGTTTGGTGGACCTCCCAACTCAGGGAAAATTATTGGGTCCGTATTTATGGTGAGAGAAAAAAATTCCTTAAAATTTAAACATATTTGTTGACGTAAGAAAAAAAAATCCTGTAATTGGATGTAAAATAAAATTGAGTCGCGCCATTTTTAGGCAGTAGATCGGGAGAGAGGGCAACCAAATATTTTTACAACAAATGGTCTTATAAGGCTAGTACATGTTCCATCACATACTTAGTAATGCAATTTTTTTAATCTTTGGCACTATTTTGAAAAAAAAACATATGATTTTCGGAAGGGGGGGGGGGGGGGTAGTCTCTCATTTTTTGCGATGTTAGAGAGACATTGCAAATGCAATGGACCTTTGTTTGCAAACATTGTGATTGCTTCTAAATTTAAAAAAAAAACAACTCTATATATTTTATCAAGCTTCGTAAGTTCAATGATCGAGAGCTTACAACGTAGTCAACATAATGAGACATGATGCGTTTTTATGTCCAAACATTACTCCATACGATGTGTTGGTCATTGCAAACAATCAAGCTATTTATGTGAGGTGCCTGAAGGAAATCCTTTAACTGCCTATTTTTTCTATCTAACTGCTAAACAAAATAGACATATGTACCAACTTTTCGAATGTAAGACATGTAATTGCAATTTGTTTTTCATGCACCGCATATTGTTTAACATTTTCAAATTAAATGCTAAGCATCCTCCTTGCAGTGCCCCATTTCAAAATAACTTCTATTGCCACAGAAAAAAAGGCCCAACGCAGGGATTGACATTAACGGTTGTCCGATTGCCCGGGACAAGTAAATCATCGGGTCGGCAAGTGAAATCATCGATGTAATTGTCCGATCGGGCAAGTGGATATTTCTTATCAGAAACGTTTTTTTAATCTTACATTAGTTTATAAATAAAACAATGAATTGAACAGTTGATTTCCGCCAAAAATGTGACAATGTTTTTGCATTCAGAATCCCTCGGTAACGTTTCTGGATCATACCTTTATTTAGAAATCGGGTTCGTTATTCTGTTTTCTTTCGTTCACTCTCTGCCTGACAACTTATTATGAACTTACGATACATTCTTACGAAATATATATAATAGAATAGTTTATTTAATCACTCAGAATATAAAGAACACCAGTTGTTCTTGGTAATGATGTATCTTGATTCAAAACATGATAACTGTTTTCCTTTTAGTTGACCTTAATCGCTTGGGGGGGGGGGGGGGGGGTAAATTTTCAAAACAAAAAAGAAAAGAAAAGGAAATATCATTAGTGCATCGCTGTACGTGTGTTAACAGGATAGTAAATTACAGGAAAGTTGTTTATACAGTAACTGATGTTTTCTTCTTTAAAATTTTTGGGCAACCAAGTTTTGCGTTCGGGCAAGTCAAAATTGTAGTTCACTTGCCCGAAGGACAAGTGAATATTAAAGTTAATGTCAATCCCTGCGACGTAAACACATATGTTTAGGGCATTTTTTAGCTTTTTCTTGAGTTTTAAAGAAACCAACAAATTATCAAGACTTGTTCCACGAAAAATTAAATATAATCATGGTTATAAACGCATCTATCCACAGCAGATATATGCACATGTCAAGCACGTGCTCAGTGTATTAATATTTTCTAGCAAACTCGAGCTGTGAACAGAACAGTTTTTCCCGATTTGCTGGAGTGGGGTTAAAATCGCGTTTTTTCATTAATCAGACGAAGCGATGCAACAAATAAAAGTAGTAAGTAATATTACCTAATGATTATTACTAAGTAATTTCTTGTCTTGATGTTTTTATGGTCGCATTTATTCTAAAATCAATGTTATTCGAACTCTGTGCGACAGAGGAATGGCGGACGAAATAAACACATGGTCTCAGGAAGACACACATATGAAAAATCAAATTTTCAAGAATTCTAGATAATGACAAGAAAAAAGCGAAACAAATGGTTGTAGCCATATTATCAATGAATCAAACTAACACCATTTTCAATGCATTTTTCATCTCGTGAATGCTGTAGCTGCGCAGTACTACAATGATTAATTTCCTCCTAATTAAAACAAAATAAACTTAATTATTTACTAATTTTGGTCTCTAACAGTAGGTAACTAGTGCATTAACACTTTGAGTAACTTTGGGCTAGTTTAGACGAGTATTAAGCGCATTCTTGGCATTTCTTATTTCACACCAGACTAGATCCAATTGGCTTGTACATCCCCCTTAAGACTTTTTTGCCATCACTACTCTTTGCAGAAGTGTTGTGATGTTAAATGAATGATTCTGTGTAAACAGCTAGTGTAAAAATATTTTTCTATTATCCATTTAAAAGTATTATAATTATTTTTAATATTCAATGTAATTTATAAAGTCATAGGAAGAATCAAAATTTGGTCTTATATTTCATAAGTTCTTATGTAAAATGAGCCCCTGAACATATATCATGAAAAATATAAATTTCTTTTTTTTTTATGATACATCTAGGCCCTAGCTTAGCTCCATATAGGCAACGACCTGGTATTAACAATAACGAGATAATTACATCAAAATATGTAGTTTCATCGAGTGTTTTACAAAATTTCGAATTTCCTCTATAGTATTTAAAAAGATCCTACGTTCATCTTCAACTCGAAAAATTCCTAGCTGAATTTCTCATTTTATAAAAACACATACCAGCTATTTTACGAGTTGAATGCACAGCATAACTTCTACATAAGCAAGTAAACGGTGTAGAAGCAAGAGAAACCAGTGAGCTACCAAGTGACATTTTCGGTAAAAGTTAATTCGAACAACGAAGATTCTTACAGGTGCCTGAAGTCATTCTCACCTCTAAAAGTTTAATTTGTTTCAAATAAAACAAAATAAAAGTTAAAAGATATTTTAATATTTTTAACTATTTCAAAATAATAATTTCGTTTTTTATCATTATCATTTCATTGAATACATGTATATCTTTTACACACCGACTCATTCAAAGCATGCATTAATATAATTGGTCTCCGGAACCACATGTTTTCCCATCATTTCTAAACCGCTGGAAACTTTGCTGTCCAGAAATTTTGTGGAAAAAGTGCTGATATAATTACAGGTAACCTTTCTCTTTGTTTTTAAAACAAGTTATTTTTATAGTATTTGACAGTTTAAAGGTATATTCTATGTTATTTCTAATTAAATTAGGCTCACGGTGCAATGAAGTATCGAGGAAATTCGGTTTTTCCTGCAAAAGAGTTTAAACAATCGCACTTATCGTTAATTCTCCTTTCTTTCTATAACTTTATCTTCTTTTGGCTTTGAAAATTCACGAAAATGTGAGCCCAGTATTGTAATAATTGAATTCTTAATAATGTAAGTTAAAGCTGTCTAAGTATTTTTGGATAGATATTTACTCATCCTTCACAGAATAAGAGTAACGCAGTAGAATAAATCTGCTACATATAGTTTTTTGGCCATTCAATTAAGAAATAAGATATCATTTTCAGAGTGTCATTGGGATATGACATAAGGTTGGGTCGTGTGATCAAATTCTATAACGCCAAAAGGGCGTTTAGACTTGTTATTAAAATGCAACATAATGCACATGTACATCATCATATGACGTCACAGTCAAGACTTTCTAGTATTGTCTCGTGTGGTTTTCCAAACTTCATGTCATTGAAAATTGAATGTCAATATAATTTATATTGTCATATATATAAGGAAAGACATTTGCAAATGTAAATATTCTTTTTTAAAGGTTATTGAAATTTTTGTTGGCAGAATGGCAGAAGAAGCTGAAGCAGATGAGAAGAGAATTTTGGCTCAGTTCAAAAGTGAAAGTGGAGATGTTACAGGAAATGCATTTGATTTACCTTTAAACATCACAGCAGAAAAGCTACAGATGATCTGCAATGCTTTATTGACAAATGTAAGTAATCATCTAAAAGTGAAAGGATTAATATGCCAGGTCATCCATTGCATTGACTGAACACATCTTTATTTTTCTGCTTTAAGGAAGATCCTATCCCTTACTCTTTCTTTGTCAATGACATTGAAGTAACTGACAGTCTGGTGAAGGCACTGGATGATAAAGCCCTAGAGAACACAGAACAGGTCCTGGACATAGTTTACCTCCCTCAGGCTATATTTAGAGTGAGGGCCGTAACAAGGTGCACCAGTACCATCCCGGGACATGCAGAGGCTGTCATTTCTGTATCATTTAGTCCTGATGGACGGTAGGAAATGTTTACTTTTTTTTTTTATATTTATTCATTAATATACTGATTGACTAATAATCACAATGATTTAAATTTTGGAAGAATTTTGATAAGGCAAAAGAACACAACACAATATTTTATGAAAATCTTTGGTTTCATCCTAGTTTGTCTTTCAGGTATTTGGCTAGTGGTTCAGGAGATACAACTGTTCGGTTCTGGGATGTGCAAACAGAAACTCCTCACCATACTTGTAAAGGTCTGATAATTGTTAATCAAATTACTTGAATAAGTAATTTTGTATTCAATTTAATGCTATTTGAATATCATCATTGCATCAAATTTGGTTAAAGTAAGTTTTAGATATCATCTTTTCAGGTCATAAACACTGGGTGTTATGCATAGCTTGGTCACCTGATGGAAAGAAGCTAGCCTCTGGTTGTAAAAACAGTCAAGTAAGTTTTACTGAAAAGAAGTAGTACTTTGTAAGATCTTTTAGCTTTTTTCATTTCAAAGAAAGATTCCTTTACCATTGCCATTTGAGACAAATGTGATACATGTATGTTATTGTTGTTTGTTTATGACAATATTGATGAAAAAAGGAAGTTTCTTTCACATTTTGCCCATCTGAAATTGATTGCATTTTAATTATGAATTAGAAAAACATAAGCTAATTTTTTATGAGTGATGGACATTAAAGTGGCACAGTGAGTCAAAATCATATCGTAGTTTTAAGATATCTGTATTTTACAGAGAAATACTTATGAAATTATGAGTTTTTAGCGAATATATGACAATTAAACTGCAAGAATTGACTGCACAATATAAGTGCCGGAAAAATAAAGGTTGTATCTACCGTTTCGTTGTTTCGGTTATGTCAAAGTCACGCAACTCTTATTTTTAGCTCAAACTTGTAAACAAAATTCAACTGGAGCATGCAAAGGTGAGAAATATGTTCTAAAAACTTTTTTTAAAAGAGTAAATCAAATTTTTTGGTCTTCTTACATTCATTCGTGGATAACTGAGACCATGGTAACTATGGAAACTTATTCAACAATAGGGAGGAAGAAGTACCAGAGTATTTTGCAATATGTTCGTTCTGGGGCAGACAGATATTATTTTTACTTTTATTTTTCCCCCAAAAAATATCATTTTTATGTTCTGAAACATGTAATTTTCTGAAACTGAATACTTTTAGGAATTGAACAAAATTTACAGATGTCATGCGAAAATTCTACATTTGTCAATTTTCCCCTTTGTGCGTCACAGTGCCGCTTTAAAATGTATTTCTTTTAGATATATCTGCTTTCTTTTTATCTACTTTTCAATTTGGGGGAACAGAGGACTGACACTTTTTTGGGGGATTCAAAGAATACCTCTCTATATTTACCTTGAGTATATTTTTAGCTCACCTGAGCCGAAGGCTCAAGTGAGCTTTTCTGATCACATTTTGTCTGTCTGTCCGTCCGTCTGTCAGTCCGTCTGTAAACTTTTCACATTTTCGACTTCTTCTCAAGAATCGCTGGGCCAATTTCAACCAACCTTGCCACAAAGCATCCTTGGGTGAAGGGGATTCAAGTTTATTTAAATGAAGGGCCACGCCCTCATACAAGGGGAGATTATTGGGAATTATTTTAAAAAATTCAGTGGTATGTTTTAAAAATCTTCTTTATCCGGGGGGTAGGGAGGGGCCACAATGGCCGACCAAAGTTTTAAATAGAAATATATAGGAAAATTCTTTAAAAATCTACTTTTCAAGAAAAGCCATCATTGATCATATTTATAGGGAAGCATCCTCAGGTAGTGTAGATTTAAGTTTGTTCAAATCATGACCCCCTGGGATAGGGTGAGGCCACAATGGGTGACCAAAGTTTTACATAGAAATATATAGGAAAATTCTTTTAAAATCTTCTTCTCAAGAATATAGCAAAGCCATGATTTTTCATGACTACTTTTGGATATAAACTTTTCAATACTGGTAATAAACCAATTTTTACTTTTTCCTAGCCACAGTGCTCAGGTGAGCCACTCGGCCCATGGGCCTATTGTTTCATAGGTTGTGTGAGTCACTGTGTCACAACTGTGTGTATTTTAAGCATAAGTATTGACCCTGTTGTAGATTTGTGTATGGGACCCAGATTCAGGCCATCAAAAAGGAAAAACTCTAACTGGACATAAACAGTGGATAACCTGGCTGTCATGGAAACCTTTCCATTTGTAAGATCTTTATTTTGTAAAACATTTAATACATGTATTTCTTTAATCCATGCTTTTATGTCTTTGGAAGCCTTATTTGGATTTTTTTATTCCCTCGTTTTATTTTCTATATATTGTATGAACAGTTATGTGCTGAATTACAAGAATTTGATTAGCTTTTATCAAAACAAACTCTATTGATAATTTGCTTATCTTTATTTTTCAGAGATCCAGAATGCAGATTCCTTGCAAGCAGTTCTAAAGTAAGTTCTTATTTTTAAAAAAATTCTGAATAGGTAAAAAATGTGCAAAAAATATTCTCCAATTTTTAAAAATGGATCAAATCACCATTACTATTTTTAAAAAACAACATTATTTTAAAAGTATATCAAATAAAAATTGTACAATTGAACAAAAGTTTATTTCAATTTTCTCTAATTTAAGTATCATTGATAAATAACAAATGGAATACAGATTTATTACAATTATAACATAAAGCTTGATTTTATGAAATAAAAATTTTGTGAAACTTCATACACCCAAAATGTTCTGTACTGTATACAGTAAAATAGGTTATAACGAAGTCGCTGGGACCTATGAAATCACTTCGCTATATCCGTAATTCATTATAACCATATAAGAAATACATGAAATTCATATAGCTGGGGATCCAAAATGACTTCGCTATATCCGTGTTCGTACTAAATGAGTTTTACTGTACATTCTTTGTTTGTAGGATGGTACTATAAAGATCTGGGACACCCTGCTGAGTCAGTGTCACATTACCCTGTCGGGGCACCTACAGTCAGTGACCTGTATCAAATGGGGAGGGACTGACCTCATTTACTCCGCCTCCCAGGACAGAACCATCAAAGTGTGGAGGGCAGAAGATGTAAGTATAATCTTCATCATTTGTAAAGTCCCATCTTGTGACCAGTTTGAGGTGATAATGGGAGATATAGGGAAGATATGTTTACTTATTTTTATGTTTCCTTTTTAGCTCCCTGACTTGAAGCTCAAGTGGGTTTTTTTAAATCATTTGTTCATCTGTCTGTCTGTAAATGTTTCACATTTTTGACATATTCTTAAGAATCACTGGGCCAATCAAAACCAAACTTGGTACAAAGGATCTTTGAATTAAGGAATTTCAACTTATTTCAATAAAGGACCATGCTGGCCCTCTTGGAATTGAAGATAATAAAGAGAAGACAAAAATAGGTTGCATCTTTAAATAAATCTTATTCATAAGAACCACTGGATTTAAAAAAAAAAAAAACAAAAATAAAATCTTGATTAAAAGACAACAAATCACTGGACCATTAAAGATGGAGGTCATGTTCTAGCTACCTTATAGCCCCAGAAATGTAGCTCTCTGCTTTAGAAAATTCAGACATTTAAAGCAGAGAGTTGTAAATCCAAGGATTGTAAAAGCCTTCAATTTATGCTACCATTTTTTTGGTTGCTTACAGTAGGGAAGTTTAATACAGTTAATTTTCAATAAACCGCCACCTTTTGTAATTTTGAAATCATGGTGGGATAACGAATTTGGAGATGGATTGAATTCCTATTGTTTAGGAAAAAAGAAATAGAGTTACTGTTCTTAGAAATACCGTTTAGTGTCTCTATTCTTATTATTACATGTACATATAAAAACATGTTTCTATATTTGAAAATACTTCAAGTAATTTTTTATTTACACTTTTGCTTCAAAAAAAACATGCAGTTAGGAAATAAAGACAAGTACAAGTGTATGCATGTAAATCTGCACGTCTGAAAAAAAACGTGCTGGGTCGATCGTCGTAATATATTGCCGATAGTAAGTAAAATGAATTATTGAATAAATTAATTGTTTATGGCATCATTGTTAATAAAACGTTCACAATTTATACCGTATAATTATTTTTAAAGCAACTTTTGCATTTTTTAAAGAAGAGATCATTAAAATAATATCGTTATCGGCGTTCTTAAACAACGGCCGCTTTCATGGCGAAGCTGTGACTAAATAATCTTAAGGGCTTATCTAATCACATTTTGTACGTCTGTCTGTCTGTTTGTCTAGCTGTCTTTCTGTCCATCTGTCTGTAAACTTTTCACATTTTCGACTTCTTCTCAAGAACCGCCAGGCCAATTTCAACTAAACTTGCCACAAAGCATCCTTGGGTGAACGGGATTCAAGTTTGTTCAAATGAAGGGCCATGCCCTTATTCAAGGGAAGATAATTGGGAATTAATGAAAATTTGATGACATGTTTTAAAAATCTTTTTCTCAAGAACCACTGTGCAAGGAAAGATGAAACTTATTTGGAAACATCTTCAGGTAGTATAGATTCAAAATTATTCAAGTCATAACCCCAAGGGGGTAGGGCGGGGCCACAATGGCCGACCAAAGTTTTACATAGAAATATGTAGGAAAATTCTTTTAAAATCTTCTTCTCAAGAATAGCAAAGCCATAATTAATCATATTTATATGGAAGCATCCTCAGGTAGTGTACATATGTAGATTCCAGTTTGTTCAAATCTTGAACACGTGGGGTAAGGCAGGGCCAAAATGGCAGACCAAAGTTTTACATAGAAATATATAGGAAAATTCTTTAAAAATCTTCTTCTCAAGAAAAGCAAAGCAATAATTGATGGTATTTTTAGCTCACCTCAACGAAGTTAGGGGAGCTTATGTAATACCCTCGGCGTCGGCGTCGGTGTCGGCGTCGGTGTCGGCGTCCCGGGTTAAGGTTAAGTTTTTTGGAGCAGTTTTCTTTTTAACTACTTCTATGTCCTATATGGATTAGACTTGCATGGAGGATGGTTCTAGTGTGTTTCATTGCACCATTCAAAGTTTCAGATGCTGCAATTTCAGCAAAGGAACGACCAGGTTAATGTTTTGGGAGCAGGTTAACATTTTTGGTGCAGTTTTTGGTGTAGGTTTCATTTCCAAGTAACTAAAAGCCCTATGTTGACCAAACTTGCATGGATAATACATCTAAGAATGCATACTATTGGGCTCGCTTCGGATGCTGAATCTGACCTACATTTTCCAGTTGAGTGAACAGGTTAAAGTTTTTGGTGCAGGTTTCATTTCCAAGTAACTATAAGACCTATGTTGACCAAACTTGCATGGATGATACATCTAAGGAAACATACTATTGGGCTTGCTTCGGATGCTGAATCTGACCTACATTTTCCAGTTGAGTGAACAGGTTAAAGTTTTTGGTGCAGGTTTCATTTCCAAGTAACAATAAGACCTATGTTGACCAAACTTGCATGGATGATACATCTAAGGATGCATACTATTGGGCTTGCTTCGGATGCTGAATCAGACCTACTTTTCTGGTTGAGTGAACAGGTTAAAGTTTTTGGTGCAGGTTTCATTTCCAAGTAACTATAAGACCTATGTTGACCAAACTTGCATGGATGATACATCTAAGGATGCATACTACCAGGCTTGCTTCGGATGCTGAATCTGACCTACATTTTCCGGTTGAGTGAATAGGTTAAAGTTAATGCATGATTCATTTCCAAGTATCTACGATTCTTTAATGACCAAACTTGCATGGATGATACATCTAAGGATGCATACTACCAGGCTTGCTTCAGATGCTGAATCTGACCTACTTTTTGTGGATTAGTGAAAATGTTAGTTATTGATGCATGTTTCATTTCCAATTAACTATGAGCCCTATAATGAGCAAACTTGCATGGATTATAGATCTTAGGATGCAAACTAATGAACTTGCTTCGGATGCTAAATTCGACATGCATTTTTCATATAATAGACCAGGTAAAAGTTATGGGTGTAAGTTTAATACCAAAAGACTATAAGGCTTACATTACATTGTATAAACTAAACTTGCACAAACGTTGCATCAAGAGATGAAAACTCTCAAATTTGCTTCAGATTCTGGATTTTGATTACATTTCATGAAGAAGAACTAGTTTAAATTTTTTATGTAGGTCTATTCAAAGTATCAGATCAAAATTGCTTAAATATTTTCATTTTTGGAATGTACACTTTTTGTTGGTTAATTGTGTGACTTTGCCTTTCTTAAAGACAACATTCGTTGAGGTGAGCTCTGTGATTACCTATGGTTTTCTTTAGCTCACCTGAGCCAAAGGCTCAAGTGAGCTTATCTGATCACAATTTGTCCGTTGTCTGTCGTTGTCATTGTTGTTGTTGTAAACTTTTCACATTTTCATCTTCTTCTCAAGAACCACTGGGCCAATTTCAACCAAACTTGGCACAAAGTATTCTTGGGTGAATAGGATTCAAGTTTGTTCAAATGAAGGGCCACGCCCTTTTCCAAGGGAAGATGATAATGAATTTGTTAAGAATAAATGGCAATTTTAAAAAATGTTCTTCTCCAGAACCACTGGGCCAGGAAAAATGAAATTCATATAAAAGCATCATCAGGTAGTGTAGATTCAAGTTTGTTCAAATCACGATCCCCGGGGCAGGGGTGGGGCCAAAATGGCTGACCCAAGTTTTACATAGGAATATATAAGAAATATCTTTAATAATCCTTCTCCAGAACCACTGGGCCAGGAAAGATGAAACTCATGTGGAATTATCCTCAGGTAATGTAGATTCAGGTTTGTTCAAATCATGACCCCAGGGACAAGGGTGGGGCCAAAATGGCCGACCCTAGTTTTACATATGTAGGAAAAATCTTTAAGAAATCTTCTCCAGTACCACTAGGCCAGGAAAGATAAAATTCATGTGGAATCATCCTCAGGTAGTGGAGATTCAAGTTTGTTCAAATCATGAGCCCCGGGGCAAGGGTGGGGCCAAAATGGCCGACCCTAGTTTTACATAGGAATATGTAGGAAAAATCTTTAAAAAATCTTCTCCTCCAGAACCACTGGTCCAGGAAAGATGAAACTTATGTGGAATCATCCTCAGTTAGTGTAGATTCAAATTTGTTCAAATCATGACCCCCGGGGCAAGGGTGGGGCCAAAATGGCCGACCCTAGTTTTACATAGGATTATATAGGAAAAATCTTTAAAAATTTTCTTCTCCAGCACCACTGGGCCAGGAAAGATGAAACTCATGTGGAATCATCCTCAGGTAGTGTAGATTCAAATTTTTTCTAATCATGACCCCCGGGGCAAGGGTGGGGCCAAAATGGCTGACCCAAGTTTTACATAGGAATATATTAGAAATATCTTTAATAATCCTTCTCCAGAACCACTGGGCCAGGAAAGATGAAACTCATGTGGAATTATCATCAGGTAGTGTAGATTCATGTTTGTTCAAATCATGACCCCAGGGGCAAGGGTGGGGCCAAAATGGCCGACCCTAGTTTTACATATGTAGGAAAAATCTTTAAGAAATCTTCTCCAGTACCACTAGGCCAGGAAAGATAAAATTCATGTGGAATCATCCTCAGGTAGTGGAGATTCAAGTTTGTTCAAATCATGAGCCCCGGGGCAAGGGTGGGGCCAAAATGGCCGACCCTAGTTTTACATAGGAATATGTAGGAAAAATCTTTAAAAAATCTTCTCCTCCAGAACCACTGGTCCAGGAAAGATGAAACTTATGTGGAATCATCCTCAGTTAGTGTAGATTCAAATTTGTTCAAATCATGACCCCCGGGGCAAGGGTGGGGCCAAAATGGCCGACCCTAGTTTTACATAGGAATATATAGGAAAAATCTTTAAAAATTTTCTTCTCCAGCACCACTGGGCCAGGAAAGATGAAACTCATGTGGAATCATCCTCAGGTAGTGTAGATTCAAATTTTTTCAAATCATGACCCCCGGGGCAAGGGTGGGGCCAAAATGGCCGACCCTAATTTTACTATACAATTATAGCCTTTTGATGAGGTCGATCCCTCGATATATAGACCTTAGAGAAAGCATATCGACCGAGCACGAAGTAGGATTTATATGTATTATATT